AGAGAGAGAGAGGTTTTTGTTTGTTGTTTCTCATCCATCCTCACGTCATCCCATATCTTCATTCATCTCTCCTATCCTTAACTTTGTCATCCTTAATCTTATCAAAGTCTTAACCATCCTCGTGTATGGGCTATTGACCAACACGTGACCATGGTTTTCTTTTTAGTACTAAATTAGGGTTTGATCTTAGCATGTGAAGGTCGCATGTTAGATCTTGACATCAGAGTATATGCCTGCCCAACATTTCCCTTTTCTTTATTTTGAGTGTCACAAAAACCACCCAAACAGTGGCATCTTTGGGTACCACTTTATACGCTTTAGTCCTTAGGTATGCGTCCGCCCAAAGATACTTAAGAATGCTTCATGTTTATTCTGTTTTTCCATAAAAGATGGGATTTTCTTCTTAGCTTTTGTTTTGTTTTAATATTTTCACAAACTTCTTTTTGTTTTCCTGTTTTTTCCCTCTTACTTGTAACCTGTTCAATCGGATTGAACTGACAGCTAACCAGATTGAATGTGGCTGGCCCCTCCAGTAGTTCACAGGCATTCTGGTTTTAAAGCATTGTATGTGCAAATTCTGAAAAACATGATGGGCCTCTCTGTGATAATTTATGGCATCTAGATATTATGTACCTTAAAAGTCACAAAGGGAATATTAATGAGTTTACATGATTGTATGTACTCCTCTACTTCAATACACTTAACATTATACAAATGAAATGAGTTTACAAGATTGTAAATGCTGACAAGAAATTATCCATAAATTAGCCATCCAGTCATCGCCAAAACTAGACCAATGGATTCTGATCTTCTCACAATAAAGCATTATTTGTAAGGATAGCAACTCAATGGTTACATCTAAACATGGAAAGATTCTTTGATGATCGGTTGACTTAATTGTTCATCTAAATTTAGTTTGTGCACTCAGAGACTTTCTAGGAAGTGGTGATACATGTTGTGGAAAGTTGGTATTCGTCTTTCCTTTTTTGAAACTGACAATTCTATCTGTACTAATAATTTCTCTTTGGTAAGTTTAAATACTTATTTTTGAGAGAACTACAAAAACTTTATGGTTCAAAGTGGAGACGCCTGAGCCATTTACTGTGGCATAAAGTCTTAACAACTATAAACTATCCTTAGGAACCTTTTTATTTGCTACTTTGTTAAGCATTGAGTTACCACCCTCAAAACATGACATATGGACGTTTATGCATAAATTCCACATGAGTTCGTGCACTTGTGCAAACATACCATCTAATCTCCATGATATCATTTTCTTGAATCCAATTGATTATGTTCTTAAAGTCCAAATCATTGTTTTAAAAATGGAATCAAGACCCACATTGGTCCCTTGCTTCTCTTATTCTGATCCAGATCTTCCGATTGAGGGTAATCAAGCTGAAAATGGTGGAAAAAAATGAAAAGAATTGCAGATTTTCATATGAATTAAATCAAAGAGATTCAAAGTTGATAAGCCAAAGGATTTAAATCCTCTGCAATTTGAATTAAATCAAAGAGATTCGAAATTGATAAATCGAATTTGAATCAGATTTGATGACTGCATTTTAAAATTCTAACTTTGAATCAAAGGGACTCAAAGTTAGCATAAGAAAATACAAGGCAAAGTCGAAGAGATAAAAGGAGATCTAAATTCAATGTTAACGTTTAAAAAACACAGGTTAGTTAGTGTGATCTGATTTGATAAATCTTCTCAATTTTGAATCAATTCACTTATCTCTTCAATTTTTGATATTTATTAAATCGTTTGATAATAAAAAATGATTCATAGACATCAATAAAATGGAGATTCTCAGCCTATCCAAAATTGGATGTAACTAAAAAATGGGATTCAATACTCAGCCCACGAAAATCGAAAATGTATACAAACAATATGTAAAATGATAAAATAACACTTATAAATCCTCTCTAACACTGTGTCAAGAGAAATCCTCAACAATTTGGGGATGAAAACTCGAAACCAATGTATTTTTGACAGATTGAGCTTGTCTCAGAGAGTTTTGTGATAAATTTCATCAATTTAGGCTAAGACATGAGGAGGAAAAATGTGAGAAAGGTGGAACAGGTCCTTTTCACGTCATAAAAGTAGTAGTAACAACAACAATAAATAAAGAAATCTGCGGTTAAGTTTTGGGGAATCGTCGATTCTTTGACAGAATCAGCGATCCCTGATGTCAGGTTCTTTTAAGAGAATCAGGCAATTTCTTAGGAAAAAGGGGCTGTCCCCGATTGCGTATGGGAATCGGGCCTGTCACCTACCAAACATGATCTGGACCAGGCGATTCCAAATCAAACCACGGTTTTTTTAAGATACTGGTCTGAATGATAAAAGAAATTATGTACTTTTAGTCCCAACAGGGTCTTCAATGGTCTTATTCTCACGACTATTGTGTTTTAATTTGTACTTTTGAATTGTGATTAATTTTATACGAAAGACTTGCAGAAGGATGTATATTATTACTTTTTACTTTTGAATTCATTTTTTATTAATATCATAATTAATTTTGAATTTCATTGAATATTTTTGCTAATAAAAGTTGTTATCGATTGTGAAAGAGCCAAACATTGTTTAACAATTCCTCTGAGGCTACAAAGTGGTACCTAGGTGTCTGCATCTAAGAAGATGCTGTTATTTTCTAATGGTGAGCTACCATGCTCCAAATTTCTAGATGAAAGTTGCTAAATTGTTTATTAGATTTGAGAATTTGTTAGTCTTGCAGAGCTAGAGGTTTACTGATGTAAGCCCGCATTCCTGACCATTAAGATGAAGCTAAATCATGTTTGATCCAAAACTGAAATGACTTTTATTGAATTTGAGGAACACAACACCTTGTTCTCATTCGTGCTCTTTGCCTCATTTATGTCTTCCAAGTGCCATGTTATGTTTAAGGCAAAGTTGAGTTCTATTTCATGAACTCTGTTAGAAAGAATATAAGCACAAAATCTTTACAAAATATTCAATCAGGTGTAATCCTTTGGACTGTTTAATTGATATGTTAAATGTTTCTTAATTGTGCTGCTTCTTTTGGTGAAATTAAGTTCGAGAAGCTCCGACTCCCTACAACCTGAAACAAATTAACAGAGATTTATAAACTGAGTAAAAGAAACAATAAAGAGAAACATACGCTAAAGATATGGGATTGGATCACCCAAATGGATGAAGGCATATGATCATAAACTTTGTAAGGATTGAAGCTGTATCAAGGAAATCTACACCTCATATTATGGTTATAGCTGCACTTAGGGGCCAGGTGTGACTAAGTTTTTGGTTTTCTGTGGTTCTGAGCCCAAAACGCGATTTCCCTTTATGCAACGAACTTTGACTTTTTGAACCTGAGAAAGTGATGAGTTTGGTTGATCACAGTCAGGGCCTACTGGTCTGCAGTCATGGCTGTGTCTGCTATGTTCCTAGTCAATAGATGTTTTGACCCTCGAGTAAGGGGATCTCAATTAATTTTGAGCAAGTCTTTGTTTGGTGAGTTGAGTTTTGGAGCATTGAATTTATGGAGTAAGATGTAGTTTGATCTTACAAAAAAGCTTACATAAAAATGAATATATATATATATAAAGGCTGCATTATCAATTTTTCTGTTGTGTCTTTGTTGAGCCTCAATGTCGTTGGTGATGCATTTTGATCATATTAAACTTTGCGGCTTCTTCCTTTACTACTTAATATAGGCCCTGTAATTTTTGTCCTAAAGATATCTAATCAATTGCTTTATATTTTGCAGATGACAACTGCAATTGCAATAGAAGATGTTCGTAGGGAGGTGAAAATCTTGAGGGCACTTTCTGGACATAAAAATTTAGTCAAGTTTTATGATGCATGTGAGGATGCCAATAACGTCTACATAATCATGGAGTATGTTGTGTCTCTTTTTTCAATTTAAGTTGCATGTACATGATGAAATCTATTGGAGAGAAGTGATTCTTATTTCTTTTTAAATTTTAAAATCATCACAAGAAATCTTTTTTTACAATGCAAGCTATTGTGCTGCTACCATATTATGCATGTATTGTGCTGGTGTGTGTGTACACCATTTCTTTTGCCATCTTCATCGGTTGAAATTGTTGTTATTTTTATTTTCTGGATGATAGACATCAAATGGATGTTTCAGCTGCGTTATGCTTTTGGATCTAGCATTTACAATGAAAAGTTTTCATAATGTTGTGTTGGGAATTGATTAGAAGGCTATGGACTATTGGATTCCCTTAATATTAAATGAAATTTGTAATTGTTTGACACAATGACAAAATATTGTACTCGAATTTGCTGTTAAAATGAAATTTTGGATTATGAATGTAATCTATAGTTTCCAAAATCTTTAGTTACCGGAATCGTGCAAACTTGGTAGGGATTTTGGTTTGGAATCATGATTCTGCTTTTCGGTGATGGAACTGCCACTGATCTGATTCCTGGAAGTTAGGAATCATGATTCCACATTTTTTTAATCTCGTTTTGATGTCTACGGAATCTAGATTCCACGTCGTGAATTTTTGCCATTCATTGGTGCAAAAGACGATTCAAGCAATATGAGACATAGCTTCTAATTTTGTTGAATAGTGATCAGATATATTTGGAATCTAGATCCTCAACATCAAAGCAAAATTTTTTGCTATTTAAACTTTATTATAATTAATAAATGATATGTATCTAAAATTCTATGAGTGTCAACATCATCTAGTTTACATCATTCCTAATTTCAAGAACTTATAATGAATGTCTTATTTTTTAAAAATACATTATTGATAAATAGAGTAATTTTATTTTCTTTATTTAATCTAAAAACTCTAGGAAAGTAGGTGCTCGACCTTGTGTCCTATAGTCGAGGGCACTCAATACATTGACTCCAATGTTAAGGGATGGCTGTCAAAGACATCAACTCTGATAATAGGGGAGCCCTGGGTATTCATACTCAATATCATCATCATCATCATCAGAGCCTTATCAACTATTTGGGGTCGGCTAAGCATACTCAATATATGGAGTCCGTTACTAAAGAATTCTTGCTTATAGATAATCTAAAGCTTAAAATCTTTTGCCTTTTAGAACTCATTTCTTGATAATTTCCAGCCTGGTTCCAATTGGTTTGGTGTGGGATTCCTGTAAGTTAGGAATCTCGATTCCAAGTTGATGGGCTGTGATTCCAACAAGTCAGGATTTTCAAGTCCTATTGGATTGGAGTGTGATTCTCAAATGGTATAAATTCCCCTTCATGTGATATGCATTGTACAAATGGCGATTCTGACTATAGGAATCATGTGGCCACCTGCGATTCCATAATTTCTATTCCTATAAACAATTTAGAATCACGGACTTTTCCAACAACTATACTGTAATCAGGGTCAAAATCAGAATCGGAAGAAATTTATTGTTTTGGAAACCTACAACGGATTGGAAACTTGATCATGCTGACTGTATGGAATACTAGTTAAAGTTAGGAGAAGCTTATCACACTTCCATTTCGTCAAAACTCGGCTAGTGTTTGCGCAGACATCGGCCCTTCCATCCTAATGTCTTTTGAAACTCAAGAAACATTGTTGAATAGTATAGTTCCCATTTAACTTTTGAAGTCAAATATGCAGCAAATTCTCCACTGAAATTCGTCTGATTTTGTCCAGTAGATGTGCTATAGTGGGTAACGTTACTGATGGCAGTTTAGTATATGGGTTTGATCGGGGAGAAGTTGAGATCATGATCTTATGTTACTTTAGAGCATAGTGACCTTTTTGTTTTATACCTGTTAATTGTTGTTGAGCGATGTCTTTAAATAACGAGATGCTCATGTGGTGGCTTTCAATGTCATTCCACGTTAGGCTGAACCAACTGTGGGGCACTTACTATACAACCGTTTATGTTATGGTGACATTGTTGCTGCATCCTTAATTTTCTGAAGGTTTGCTTCTTTGCAGATTATGTGAAGGTGGGGAGCTGTTGGACAGAATTTTATCCAGGTTTGTATTTTTAACTAATGTGGCGTAATTATTTCCTTCTTGCTGGTTGTTCCCTGAAACTGTTCTCAATAAGGAACTTAATGAAGTGTATGTTGTGCTATGTTATCATTGTAGAGGTGGAAGATACACGGAAGAAGATGCAAAAGTTATTGTTGTACAAATATTGAGTGTTGTAGCCTTTTGTCATCTCCAAGGTGTTGTTCATCGTGATTTGAAGCCAGAGGTGATCCTCTTTGATTGAATTAAAAATGGGTGCTTTTGGATGTGATGATATTTTAGATTTTCCTGCCTACATTTTTGGCCATTTTGTATTTGCAAACACAACATAATATGGCTTTCATTATTGTTCCAATGGTTCCTGCCTCAAGTTTTGACAGTATTGGTAATGTTGGAAATCTGAACAGAATTTTCTCTTTACTAGTGGCGCGGAGGATGCACCCATGAAGATCATTGATTTTGGTCTTTCTGACTTTATCAGACCAGGTAAACTTGATTTATCTACTTGCCATGTGAATTTTTTTAAAGTAACTGCATTACTACCTGATTTTAGGAGTCATATGCTCTGCATCAGTTTTAAACTAGAATCCTTTATGTGCTGTTGATATTTCTATCTTATTAAACTAGCAAATGCAGTCTTTCCATGTTGCTATAACCTCTCTGCCTCTCTCTCTCTCTCTCTCTCTCTCTCTNTCTCTCTCTCTCTCTCGNNCTCTCTTCTTCTTTCTCTCTGTTTCCTTT